GTCTCACTCTGTCTCATCGGATGTCCAACCCCAAAATGCCTCATTATGGACGAGTGTGGGTGTCTTGGTTTGTGATTGATCATTCTTCTCTGGGACATCACAACATGTTTTCATCAGCCCAGGCGTATCCAGTAGCCTCTTCTTTGAAAACCGTACTCAATGCTTCAATGTGGTTGTGTCACTTCACCAAGCTGTAGAGTAAAAGCCAACATTCAGGACCATAATCAGTGTATTGAACACCACAAACGTTTAACCCCTTCCAAGGTGCGTATGATTCGATGGATTGGACACCGACCCCCTTGGAGTTCGGTTTTTGCACCCCGCCTCGCTGACACCTTTTTCCAGAATAAGTCGAATACTCTTATCCAGATTTTCCTTCAGTATTTTTCGGATAGATCGTAGCTCTTTATCCAATCTGTTTGGTGAACAAGCATTCCGACCGTATTTATTTCACAGGGTTGACGCTATGGAAGTGGTCGTATCGATTGTTTACTTTTTCTTTGTCTCNCAAGAAAAAACTATTCACAAGGATTTTATTCAAGGGAGACTCTTACCAAAAGTCTAGTACAGTCACCGAGAACGGCTGTGAATTCTACTTTTCTCGAAGCCACATCACCAGTGGTGCGAATGCAAGTAAAAAACAAACAGCTGAAACTAAAATCGACCTTCCTAACTTGATTCTCTTGAATGCATCTGTGACGCATGTCACATGGGTCGTAAGGTAAAGTGTTGCTCTTAACGTGTTATGGGGTACCACTGCAATAGGTTTCAGGAGAAGATCGATTTTACATCAAGCGCCATCGTCATCATCTCATAGAAACTGGACACGGGATCGAACAGGAGAAGGCTTTCCATGTCGTTGATCGCATACCACTCGATCGATCGGAAGCAGCACAAGTTTGAACAGTAACCATATTCGAAGAGATCGCCATTCGTTTACTATGCCCAAACCTGTGTGCCCCAAGAACACTGGTTCACGGGTTTTGATTGTTTTAGTCTAGTGTGAATACCAAGGCAGGTCACGATCTTTTTTGCCCAGGTGGATAAAGGTTACATTAAATAACAAACTAAACGTTTTTCGAGGCACACTTACATGCATTTGCGTGAACCTATATCCTAAGCCTCCGTTTAATGGCGCCCCCCAATATGTGTAAGCATAAGCATATGTACGACTGTGGCTAGGAATATCCGAAACCAATAGTCAACTCACCGGCTCTTTCCCTCAATGCTACCATGGGGATGTTATAACATTCATCTCGGTTAACTTCTTCATGGAAATGCGGCTCTGGCTCTTCGCGGTCCAGGAGCGGATTGCCTCTGGTTCAGTTGGAGTGAGAAGTGCTGTTGGTGATGGAGCTGAAAGCAATATCCTGGATTTTATTTCACTTAAAAGTCGTAAGACGTGAAAGTGGATGCAAAGCCTGCCCGGAACGAAATCAAAATGATGCACCCATAGTGCCGACATACTTCGACTAACTGCAACCCAAACNCCAAACGCAGTTGAATTTAGATTTACGGAAGACTGGCACTATAGTACTGACCGCAGACCTAAATGCTAGAGTAAGCATATCGTATTCACAGAACGAATAAATGGTACACCATTTTAGTTTTAACAGCCAGTGTTCGGACAACGATGATAGGCTTCTGTGTTTGTGTTCAGATCACAGACCGTTTCTTTTGGTTACCAGATATTATATTTTTTTGTTACGCACCTAAGTGATGAACAGCAGACGAGGCGAATCCCATAGTCACGAGGACTTGCTGTTCGGTGGTGGCAACCGGTAACCTAAGCCCCGGGACTTGGAGTGGCAAACCACATAAGGCCCCGATAGGTTAGGCGTGATATTGAACCGGGCGACAGCAGAGCTGTCTGCCACCAAAGTCGGGGGACGGTGGCGGGTTCGGACCATAGGGCCCAAAGCACGCCGGTGACAGCGACTAAACCACTGGTAATTCCAAACACCCCTCCACTACACGATGTCCTTCATCCTCTCAGGACTAAACAGAAATCAGCCACATCGGTCCTAGGTACCGTTAAAGAAGCAGCATGAAAACTGCCCTTCAGTTTGAATTTGACTGCTCTCTAGTGTGCGGTATATTCTCTCAGCATTACAGCTCTTCAAGAGTTCACTTTGGCTGACCAAATGAACTCTCTTTTTTAATCATATAAATGTGTGGTTGCTTCTGGAGCATCAAGTGCCAACTGGTGTTGAACAACGGTGGGGAGTCATCAAGTCATATTTGAATACTGCTCGGTTGTTCCTGTTATTGTTACGGCCTTACTCCTTGGCCATGCAGCTACTGGATCTATGCAAACCTTCTCTGACTCCTGGACCAACGAGTCTTAATCCCAGAAAACAGCGGGTCTAATGATGCACGCATCGCCTAAAGATGCGAGCGTACCACATGCTTAACGATAACCTCGAAGCTTGGTGGTCAGCCTGTACAACTGAGACGGAATCGACCTATTCCTCAGGAAGCTGTTTCAATTTACCCGTATAGCCGGTTTTTGGAAACCCTGTATATGCCTGTCAATCTGTGATTTGGAAGGTGCCTTGATTACAACGCCACATGGAACCTTGGGTTGAGCATTTCTAACATCACCTCAGCTCGCCACCATTATTATTCAGCTGCAACGTGTCCAGTGGTTCCTTCCATTTGACCCTCACCACAAACCTGAATTTCTTAGAACAATCAAAATACAACAGGCCTTCTGGCTTAGCTAAGCTGTCGTCAGAAGTCTTGGAAGGTGAGGATCTTAGTTTGTAACTACGCTGTGCACCCTGTTCAATCGCGTTTCAATAATGGAAGAGTTTTCCTCTGATAGGAGGAAATCCGTCATCGCCTTCAAGGAAGACGGTTGCACGGCTTGCAGTAACAACAGGGAAAGCAGGCTAATTCTGAGCGTGTCAAAGTCTCTTGCGTTTGNTTTGTTTTACTCCACAGATTATTACCGAAGCGAGAGTAGCATTCAAGGGAAGACCAAGACCGGTTTCTTCCAGGTTGTGGTTGTATAGTTAAATCGTTACTCTTCGTCGGATACTGAAGAACCGTCACCAGGAAGTATACTGTTTATACATATCAGAGCAGCCAACGACTCCCTCGATAGGATTGCTCTGTGGAAATGTTTTTTAAGATATACCTGAGCAGTATGTTGCTCTCTTATAAACACTACCAACAAGTCTCAGGACGAGTAAAAATCTACGAGCTTTATCCTTTTCGGCTAAGATGCCCACTCACCTTTTCTCGTCAAATTTACCGGGGATGACATTGCTGTGTGAGTGTGGATTGATCACAAGTGGATATATAGAGCTGTTGTCTGCAAGCAAAGTACTTGACCTGGAATTCACTAACGATGTAGTTTTGATCTCTGAAATGACAGTCGTTACAACTACTGATGGGTCTCAACCCTACTGAGGTGACTATACGACGTGTATTTCGCGGAACCAAAATGTAAGATCTTGTGCATGCTCTCCACCTGGCTCGTGAACTGCCGGAAATAATCAATGACTATGATTGTCTCAGCAGCTCTATCACTTCTGGTTGAGGGGAACCCAAACAGCAATAGGACAGAGTGGCACAGTTGAATGAGTTGACGTAATGCTCATTATTGTACATCCTGGATACCATCATCCTTTGTGAATAGTCGCAATCCTGCGGTAATAAGTGGCACCCACCACCGATTCGATTTTTTCTCAGAAATACACCTCTAGCGTTTATACAATTAGATCCGAAATTCGAGGCAAAGGAGTTCATTTGATTGCCTAACAGAACATCATCATCATGCAGATAACCGTAGCGTATTTTGTCTCATCTAGTGAGCGGTTCTCCTGGTAGGGTAATTACCATAATGATGGGCGATTTTTAAGAACCGGTTTGTGTTTAGTATAACATGTGAATAAAAATTTGGCCTTATGTTGCACAAAAAGACTATTCGCTAGCCTACCGCGTCATGAAGTCATAGATCAACTGAGTGAAAACCGCATTAATAACAACGGAATGACGATGGAGAGGAAATAAAGCACCGATTGATAAGTTATGTTCGCTGTTTCAGTATGTTTACAGAAACAGCATAACACAATAGCAAAATTTATAATAGTCTATTAGATTTAAGGCCACACACCAAACAGTACTCACCAGTAATAGGGATGAAATGGAATAAAAGTTGAACGTGCTTGTACTTAGTCTTGGTGAAGAATTGAGGCATCGATGAAAAATCGTCCATCACATGCTGGTCAGTATCTTTTTGTCGCAAATTAAACAATTCAGTGTTAAGATGCAGAACAAAAAAAAATTGAAATCGAGCGTTTGCTTCGTGGAGTAAGAATAAACTGAAGTTGAGATTGGTCTAAATAAGCAGTATTGCTGTAAGAAATAATATGGAATGATTGTAGCTCAGGATACGGGTGCTGGTTTTGGTGTTCTCCGAGCTAAGTGTTGTTCGCAGACGTAGGGCCATAGCGATAAAGCGTCTTATGCGATGAATGCGGATAGAGAGTGATTTAAGACAAAATATGAAACGTAAGCCTTCTGACCTAGAACAAATCTTTGACCTGGTCAGACGGTGAGGTTACGGTTAAAAATAATAGACGGTTGTCTATCCGTCTGGTTATTTAAGATAGATAAAGGAGGACTGGTTTTGGGCAGTTTATCATACTTTCAACCTTTCAAAAAGGAGAAAATGACGTCATTAGATTTTTGGGGGTTCATATGGACGTTCGTTTGTTCAAACCACTCCATTGTTTCTGTCATGTCATCTTGTAAAGTGGTCAGAGATGATGGGTTGAGATAGGACAGTCCAAATATTATATCGTCAGCATACTTAATTAGAAGGGAAGAATTACTCATATGTGTAGGAGCAAGGTAAGCGAAAAATAGTTCACATATCGAGTTTTATGTTTTTGAGTGCACTAATATGATGCTTCCAAAAGCCTCAGTATGGTGGGGTGGGTGTTTCGGGTTGTGACTGGTCACCTTTCTCTTACACTGCGAAATACAATATGACCAAGCGTCTCAGGTAGCCTCTACTGAGGAAGCCCTACTTGAAAGTGGACTACAATTTTTCCATTATCTAGTATCAAAATGGTAGCACCATAAAAGCGTTTCTTGTTTGTGTCAGCTCTACCTTATTCATGAAGCTTACGTAGTATTCATTCAGTCTGCTCACATCAGTATATCTTCGGATTACTATCTTGCACTCAGGTTTACGACGAAATATGATTGGCTAGCGTTTTTAATGGACCATGTGTTATACACTTATATTACACATTAGTTTGGGTCCAAAGAACCACATTCACCATCAACTAATTGGTTCATCCACGTGAAACTGTTCAAAACAATCATGTAGTTCGGGTCTCTCAGCATTTGAAGATAACGACAAACCAGATAATAGATGCAAACTTTTTTATTGATTATCACCAGAGTGATGTAACGCATGAGATTTTTCTTATTTCTAGCATATCCGGAATAGCATTTATGTTCTTATTGCTAGCCTTACTTTCGCAAGTAGCGTGTCCTGTTTTGACTGTACATCCTTAACTAACACATCGACAATTTTGCCTCACAATCTATCTGCCTGTCAGACCAGGGCAGGCTGTTTTGGAAATTGGTTTTGGACCGGGATTGGGTATCACCTGTGCTGCTGAACGGGTTGCACCGCACACATACCAGGCGCTACGCAATCGATCACTGCGGCAAAAAGTATTCTCCGCACCCAACCAATTTTATAGTTTGGATGATGGTAATGCCCACGTTTATGGGGTGGATATTTCAGAATACATGTTATACATAGCCAAGCGGTGAGTCCTTTGCGATGTTGTGCTCCGTTTCGACCATCCTTTCCCGTTTTTTTCTTTTTAATTTCTCAATTTTTCACTCCCATCTGGAGGGCTGTTGTGCACTGTCCTGAAACTAGACGTACCGAGCATTTTCGTTTTACAACTGATCAAGCAAACAGCTGTGCAAATTAGAGGTGTGTGTATTCTATTTTTTTATTAAACGGAATCCGGTCACGACGAATTTTAAGCTTTATCTGTGTGTTTTTGTCAATAACCTTGTGTTGTAGCTGGAGAGGTAACAATAAAATGATGTTTTGGTTGACCCCTTCGACGACAGTTGTTTTTTCTATTCTCTTCGAATCACATTCCATTCTATTGGTATCTGCAGTCGGTGTACAAATGAACTTCAGGCAAGAGTGTCAATGCCCGACGTGCATAATTCCTCTTTTTGTAACTCATTTGCTTCGGTGTGCTTGTTTTACGCCTCTCGGTCCTGCCGCGCAGTGTTTTCTAACTCACACTGTCACACACAAAACCGTCTTCCACAGTCAGTCATCCTGGAGACTGAGCTCTCAGATCAAACATAAGGGGCAGAAATCTCGATTGCTTGTTAATTCATTTTTGAAGCTACACAAGTACAGTCGTTGAATCAATTAGAAATGCTCATGAGTGTGTATAGAAACCTCTGGGTAAAAGAACCCAACGTAGCTCGGAGCGCAGCAAAATGGGATTAGGGGTAAGACGAAAAACCATCGTCAACTTTGATTTGCATGCCTNAGTATCAGTTATACTGTGGTAAGATTAAGAAGACGTTGGCCACAAAGTTTCACTCTTTACTTCTACTTGTCTGTAGACGGCGCCCAGTGGAACTTTTTAACATCTTGTCACCCTGAAAAACATTTTCATATATTCAAATACATATTCTTCTCTGGGCTCATTCCACGGAGCTGCAGTCACTCGTACTGGGAACCGAGGAATGCCCTTCAATTGAATCTAAACATTGGCACTGTTAGAGAACACCTAACCACTAGACGACCGTGAGTATACACGGTGAAATTATTTTTATGGTGAATTCTGTCGTGGGTAGGGCGAAGAAGCGCAAGTGGAAAAGGTAAAACGTATTGAACAGCTTTTTTGACCTAGTTGGGTTTCCTCAACAGTGCACGAATCCATCTATCCAACTGAACCAGGGGAGGTCACCAGTAGCGAGCAAGCATGTTACCCACCTAACCACCGGGCAACTGGTCAGACACTTCATTTTGCCTATATAACATTACCTGTCTTCGCGATTTAATGCAGCTCTCCAGGGCTTCAAAGCTTTTTTTACTTGACGAAATCCACCATATAATAAAATAGAAGCTCCATTACTTTCGAATGAAAACTATGTTTGGTGTGGTTTAATCTGGAATGAACTGCAAAGGCTGGTGATTCAATTTCTTTCTAAGCTCACCCGGTCTCCCTCTGAATGTGTTCGATTGGTTTTCATGAAATTTCCCTTGGTTTGTAGCTGGACCTGCAAAACTCTCCATTTGATAGATTATTCCTAGTTCCTCTTAGTACACGTTCCTGCTTTTTAAGTTTGTTTATTTGAATTCGTCCAGACAAAGAACTTCATGCAGATACGTCCAAATTTGTGACGTCTCGATTGATTGATTCTAACCAGCCTACAACAGTTCACTCACATCAAACTACCCTAACAGTATCGCTTAGTATACTCGTATGTTGAGGACTGTAAATATAAGCTTATTTCACACATAAATGCAATGTTTAACAGTCCTGAGACAAAACTAATTGCATGACAGCATTGTACCAGGCAGAGGTCCTTTGACTCCCGCGAGACATCTCACCGATGCTGCAGGTATTTCAGTCCAACTTACTTCTATCATTGTTGTTCTTGTTATAACTGCCTGGGTAGGAAAACTAATCCATCTTAATCGATTTTTCGTCATCGAGTGTCACGCTACATTGCCGGTTGCAAAACGCAAGTTCCTTTGACCTTTTCATGGAGCACACTCCATACATTCGAGTAGAAAATCTACGTCCTTTACAGAACTACCTGTTTATCACCCACCTATCTTTCGGGGGTACTGTTTAATAGTCTAATATTCTTAGGTAAACTGTTCTGTTACTCTTAGGATGATTGTGCTAATCGTTTGAATTTGACTAGATTATAGAAGCGTTGCTAAAATATCTATGCGGTCATGTAGTGATGATCGGCACTTTAGCTTTTATTTCCTGACGTCCATCTGGACTCACGGCTTTAATGTATTTTCCGGTTCATTCCCCAAGTGGTACTTATATGACCTTATGGGTCAACAATACAAAGGTGGTTAGTAATTCCCTAAAAGTTTAATTGCCTTATACGGATACGAATATCTCTTCGCTGTACAAAACCTTCCGCCGTTGATTTTTTCTGCCATTGGGTCATTTGAATCGACTATTACATCCTATCATGCTTATCGTCGTGGTGAACGTTCTTTCCTTCGGTCCATAATTACTTTACTTTCAGTTCTCAAAATTAATCACTTTTATACTACGACGACAATTGTTTCTCCTGTTCATCATTGCACGAAAACCCAAATAAATCCCTTACCGATGGACCACCGTCAGCGTATGTTCACATTCTTGCCGTTCATCGTTTACTGTTCCAATTTTCAAGATTTCCTTTTTCAGAAGTAACTAGTAGTTCCCAACGGATGGACAATTGCTATGTTTGTTTTTTCCTTTGTGATTTTAGCCGCAATCGAAGCCTGATTGGTGCAGGGATCTCCACTTTAAAGCTGGGTAGTGTGAACCACTTACCACTTCTGGCGAAATCTGTAGACGCATGCTTTCACGTGAACAATTTCTATTTCTGGCCTGATTTACCTTACGCGCTTCAACAAATCTGGCGTGTTCTTCGTCCTCATGGTTCGATTGTGACGACGTTTCGACCGGAATCCCTGAAATCGGCCGTCAAACGCGGTTGGCTTCGTTATGGTCGTGCCGACCCTATTGCCTACGCAATTGCGTTGGAGCATTGTGGGTTTACAGATGTTCAGTGGCTTAAATCAATAACTCTTGACAAGGACGTTCAACCGTTTGATGCTATCGTGGCTCGAAAACCTCCTGTTCAGTTACTTCCGAGTGTCGATCCTTCTTAGTATCTTTTCTTCTGGTTGTGAAGGTTTGAAATCGATTACATTGCGTTCTGCAGATCACGTGTTCTGCTAATCACAGAAACGGGGCGGGGTTTCTCATTACCGGCTCTGAAAGTGCTTGTGTGAGAGCATTGATTCACTTTAGAAGTTTCGGTATCAGGAACCTTTGTTTCCGGTACATTTGAAATAGACGAAGTACGTTTGAGTTTCATTTAGTCTCCGACGGTCCAGCTATACATATAGTCCCGTATTGTGGTCGTAACATATCAGGGAATTGTCGTAAGTGTTCAGTTTCATTCTCCTTAGGTCGAACATTTTAGTCGAGTTAATGCATTGTTTTCACATGTCCTTCAATTTTGCTGTTTGGTTTAAGAATTACGTATCCTGCTTGTTTACTTAGATTGGTTCCGCGCTAAGGCCTGAGTGTGAAGGCGCCAGATGGCCTTGGAAAAGGGTTTTAAAAGTTTTTGATCGGTTAATATTTGAACGTGCATGATGCAGTAGACAGTTTCATTAACTCTTGGGGTTTGCAGTAGTGAAACCACTTTGTTTGCTAACCTGCAACATTTCTAAAAAACGGGAACTTTCATTTGGTTCGTATTAATCACCTATCTCTTAAGGCTCCACGAAGTTTTGAGCACATGACAATGGCTCCACTTCAGTATCCTCTTCGCAGATGGGGAAAGGAAAATCCTTAGCTTGTTGCCATTCAGGACTCAACCAAGTGACGGTTTCCCGGAACACAATGAATAGCAGTCTGAGTGGGTGGATGTAATCATATCATGGATCTGACCACTAGAGTGTTAGTCTAAATCCAAGTGTATCAGGGCAAGGAGCCTCTGTCGCTTTGTACATTACAGTTGGGTTTGCCACAGCTACAGCTGTCTCTTTGAATAAGGGATCGACCGATATGTTTAACTCCTTTTCTATACCCTATGGAACTTACCAAATACCAAAAGTTGGTTAACCTTGTCTCTTAGCCTATTCGTATTGATTTGTACTCGCTGAATAAACTTTATAGCGTGCGATAGATAAGTTTTGCTGTGGGTGGTNAATTCCTGCCATTTTTTCAAGGTGATGTTTCCGCATCTTCACGATCAATTCTAGTACAAAGTCTACCCAACTCGTTTCACAACAGCGCGTGGAAATGCAAAGCTGTCGGGTCGGTTTACCCTATAGATGAGAATATTCGGTGAAGGTTTGGATGTACTGATCCACATCGCTTTTATTTTAGGATTTCTTTTCACCGACTGAGTACTTCTAAGCCACTTTGGTATCTAATCTTCCTACTGACGAGACTGCACACTGAGGTGGTGCCATGGCTTGCGTGCCTCCATGATCCTACGAGCTACACAGGATGGCTTTTCACAGATCCAATCATGCCTGAAAGGCCAATGGGTGGAGGACAGACAAGGCTCAGTTTCACAGAGCTAGCTTTTGGACACCTGGCTTTGACTATCCATGGTCGCCCCTGAAGAGTTCATTCCAACAAATAAACACGGTGAGGGACAGTTTACCGGTCCAAAACATTAGTTAGATGGACGTAGGAACGGGGTTCCCCGGGGCTTCGTCCGGACAGTGGGAGGAGTCTTCACACTTCATGGTTCAGCCACAGCTTACCCAAGCTGCGCATCCTTCAACCAATAAAGTTCTGTCCCGTACACGTTCCGTCTGTCTCATTCGGTGCATAAGGCTAAGGGCCGATCGCGAACTGCGGAACGTCAATCCATGCACCAGTGAGAAATACACTGAACCGAAAGCCTTGCGTGACAGGTCTTTAGAGGTTCGCACACGGGTTTGCTCTCGCGTTGGATCTACGCCCCACTGTCTTGTGGACCAAACTTTTGAGTCAAAGGCTCGGTTTAGGGTTCCCAAAAAAATAAGCCTTCGTCGATGTCGGATACCGTGAAGTATGTCTTCCCCTAAAGTCTTGGGCACCCATTTAGAAAATCCTCTTTCTCATTCGTCTTCTCTTAATCTCCAATCGAGCTAGACCCCTCCAGTTTGCACCACCCATGGGATACCATTCAGCGTTCAATTAGTAAGGTTATCTAACCAGCACTTAACATATTTTTGAAACCAACATCCCCTTTAACTTAACTACATTCACTATTTGCACACTATCAGATCGGTCAACAATATGCCTTCGTTAGAACCCTCGAAACTTTCATTTCAGATGTGTTGTGCCTCCGAAACACGCATACAAGACCCTACTTCAATAATCTCCCCGTATTCCCGTGATCCAACCGCATCCTCACCGTGTGTCAGGCGATTCGGTATCCGAAGCTGGCAGTGTTGCTAGTGTTAAGATTGCGCTAAATGCCAAAGCTGAGCGCTCAATTCCAGTCAGTAGGCGACCGTGCGTTGTTCGTCTCAACCGTTCAGCAGGGGTCGACAGATACAGAACAAGGCGTCGAGGCTTATTCGTCGTATTGGTGTATGTATCGACCGATTGCAGTACACCTGAAATCGATGAATCCTACAAAACCATTCTTAATTACTCCAAAGTTTTCCATCAACGGACATCGTAGTAGTCGCCGGATTGCTCATTTGGGGTACCCAGATGAATCAAAAAGACTTCTTGGTGGTCCACATGCAATCCCTGCCAACCGGACGGACAACGGAAATAGTCTACTTCAACTCTGTTTCTGTCAATCAAGATTTTCTCGCACGAGGAGTGGCACCGCCTTATATGGAAAGCGCAAACCCCTTCACAGCGCTGGATCCAAATCGACCACATCACCATCGGTTACCGCTGGAGGAGTAAATTCAAGATGGTCGCTCTCACTGGTGAACACCTATGGNTTCTCCTCAAACCTGGCATACAACCGCAAATCGGCCATCGAATTGGAGCTCTCCAATCACCTTCTATTTCAGTCGCTAGACGAATGACTCAATGACCACTGGAAGAAAATCAAGGAAGCTATGTAAATATCAACAAAAACAACGTTGGACCCTGGCGCAGCCTCAAAATACAAACAATGGATCGACATTGGCTGCGCTGCCGGACGCCCGCAGAACACTTCCTCCTAATTCCACATATGGCACAGTGTGCTAATCCCTTAAACGCCAGCTCATCAAGTGTCTGAGGAACGACCGCAAGAAGTGGTGGGTAGGAGAGCGTGAAGAAATGGAGACAGCTGCGACTATCGGTAATAGTGGCAATCTTTTCCCTCTCATTAGGAATACGGGCCCCAGGAAACTAGGTGTAAGTGAGGTACTTAAACAATCCCATGGCACACTGGTTTATCATCAGAAACGCCGTCTTCATCGATGGACTGAACATTTCGAGGCTCCTTTCGACTAAGCGCCGGCGACATCTGACCTATCACCACCTTGACTGGCCAACTATTCCCAGTTGTAATCAGTCCTCCATCTGAAATCGAGTTTACCTGGAAATAAGTTGTCTCAAAAGGCATAAGGCCTTCGGATCACACGGGTTTTTCCCATCGGAAAGTTCATCAGAGCAAAATCCAAATTAGTATCGGTAGAACAAGGATA